TAGGGCCTGGGAAATTCAAGAGCATGATACTGGCATCTGCATCATGTGTTTGAAATTGCACCCCTCAGGTTCATATGTTGATGGTGTTTTGGAGATGGGACCTGGTGAGGGCATCCTTTCTGCACTATAACATGGCAGAGAGGTATCACAGCAGGACAGGACACATGTACCAGAAAGGGCTACTTTTACAACATACTTACTCTTTCAGCATCCTGTTAACCCACGAGTAGATTAATCACACCCCCTAGGTTCCATCTCCAAAGCACCATCAACATAAGAACCTGAGGGATGCAGTTTCCAACACATGAAATCCAGCTCCAATGCCTGAGATTTTCAGACACGTTTCTGGTTCTGTGATGAATGTGGCTCACATGTCCTTTTAAGAGAGCCACTATAAGCTCAAGCACCTGGATGTCTGAAGAAGTAAACATGTCATTAGGCCTTGTTGTAACAGGTCTCAGTCTTACTTAACTGCAATGATGAGCATATCACACATTCACATATAACGGTATGTTTTAGCTTTTGAAAACATCAATCAGGAGTAATCAAGTTTAGCATAGGTAACTGAACCTAGCAAAAGACCTTTATTTGTTTAATTTAATTGAACTTTATTTTATGTGTATATGGTGTATGTATGTGCACACGTGCCTGTGAGTGTGTGCATGCAGAGACCTCATGAGTGTTTTGCTTGTGTGTATGTCTGTACACCATGTATGTGACTGGTGCCCACAGAGATCAGAAGAGAGCATTGGATTTCCTGGAACTGGAGTTATGGTTTGCTGTGGGTGCTGGGAATTGAAATCAGGTCTTCTGCAAGAGCAACAAGTACTCTTAACCACTAAGCAATATCCCCAGGCCCTTATTGTATTTTGTAAATCAGGGTCTCTCACTGAACCTGGAGCTCCTCAATTTGGCTAGAAACCCTAGCCAGTGCCCCCAGGGGTCCTCCTGTCTTCAAGGACACAGCATAGAGGCTGTAGATGTGTGCTCTTGCAGCTGGCTCTTTTTTTTTTTTTTTTTTTTTTTTTTGGTTTTTCGAGACAGGGTTTCTCTGTGTAGCTTTGCGCCTGTCCTGGAACTCACTTGGTAGCCCAGGCTGGCCTCGAACTCACAGAGATCCGCCTGGCTCTGCCTCCCAAGTGCTGGGATTAAAGGCGTGCGCCACCACCGCCCGGCGCAGCTGGCTCTTATGTGGGTGCGAGGGAACCAAACCCAGGTTTTCATGCTTGTGTGGCAAATACCAACTGAGCCATCTCCTCAGACCTAGAAAACCTAGATCTTGCTGTTACACCATCAATTGGATCTATAATTATTGGCATATTATTTTTAACCACAGGCTCTAGCTTTCCCATGTATAAAATTACAGGAATTTGATCTGAAGATTTGCCTCTGAAAATCCATCACTCTATCTCGTTGGCCTTAAACCCAGTGTGAAATCCTAGATAGCACTGAATGTGTGTTGTGGCCCTAACTCCGTAACCAGGCCTCACCTGCTCATCTTTTCAAACAAATGTGTTGAATATCATCATTATCTCTTCTGCCACATTTCTGGTACTGAAACATTTTCCCAATTGGGAAAAAAAAAATGTAAATGTAACCTTGATGGGCCAGAGAGATGCACGCAAAAGCACTAGCTGTGAAAGCCTGAGGACCTGAGTTGGATCTTAGACCCTAGGCAAAGGTGGAAGGAGGAGCCTGAGTCCACAAGTTGTGTTCTGCCCACCATGTATGGTGCCATGCACCTGCTTTTCTCCCACATCATACGCAGAAAGACAGGCAGACAGACAGACAGACAGACAGACACACACACACACACACACACACACACACACACACACACACACACACACACAGACATAGACATAAACACACAAATAAGTGGTCCATTTCCTCCCTGCATGACATCTTGAGTCTCGTCATTCACTCATTTCTTCTCGAACTTCCAGGTCAAAGCCATCTGCTGTTTATTCTAAGTCGTGCACTCTTCAGTGTATTTTTCACAGATTGTCTTGTCATGTAGTTCCCTTTTAACCGACATTTCCTGCCTTGAAGAAAACGTTTCTCAGAGGATACTTTGGGGCTTATTTAAAATTGTTCTGTTGTGGTAACTCTGCTTTATCCAGTATATGCTGTTCAGTATTTACTCAGGACATTTGCATTTTCCATACTGTTGGTTATTGCTTTAGTTGTTGTGCTCCTAAGAGTTGCCTTGGTCATTTCTCCCGAGGAATGTCTTTGTCATGTGAGCTAGGCTAGGGATAAAGAGCAGGCTCCAGTCAGTGACCTCCTGTGAACTTATGAAACAGGAGAAGGGCTGGAGAGATGACTCAGTGGTTCCTGAGTCATCTCTCCAGAGGTCCTGAGTTCAGTTCCCAGCCACCACATGGTGGTTCACAATCATCTATAATGAGATCTGGTGCCCTCTTCTGGCCTGTAGGCGTACATACATGCAGACAGAACACTGTATACACAATAAATAAATAAATCTTAAAGGAAAAAAAAAAAAAGAAACAGGAGAAATGAGACTGCAGGTGAAAGCTACAAGTATTGCAAAACAGTGGTCCTCAGTGCTCCCCAGAGCCGTTGTCATCCGGGCATCAGGCAGGTGTGCAGCTCTGGGGAGGGGAGAATGTAGATCCCAACATGCTAGCTGTGGAAATGTGGAGGGCCGGGAGAATGGATGTCCGAGGCTGGTCAGTTAGTATGTGTCTGTTTTTATTACTGCTCTTCTAGCGGGGCTCTGGTATGCTTTTGATGAGACTACGCAGATCCCAGGTGACTTGAGCTGTTCTCCACATCAGTGGCTGTGGTCCCTAGGACTTCTCTTCAAGGAAGAGGGGAAGGGTTAACAAAAGCATCATTGAAAAGCCCTGTGCTATATCCTGACACTGCTGGGTCTCCTGCGGGGGCTTCTAGTGGGTTTTACACATCTGCCATTTCTCCAGGGTTGAATTTAAGAGCAAGGGAGGAACTAGCTTGTGCTGATTACCTTCTTGTGTGAGGTCCCTATAATAAGGGATGGCATTGGCCTCCCTCATGATCCTGTCCAAAATGATTTCTCTGATTCTTTTGTGCTTAGTAGCTCTTTTAAAACAAGTCATGGGAAGATGACAGTCTGTGGGCAATTTTGGAGTCCCTCGAACGACAGCTTTCCTAATTGTAGCATTGACTTGCTGCTGTTTAGCTGGGAAGAAAAGCTTTTGCTCATCAGTTGAAGATGACAAGTGTAAGAAGGGAGGGGCATGGCATGTAGGATAAATGCTTAATTGTCCCTCTAGTTACATTTTATCAGAATAAGAATCTAATGTAATAGTCACCTCTAGGAGTGACAAAATTCTAAACATTTTTAATGAACCAGTATGGACTCATGGAACTTTATTCAATATTCATAATTGTCTACAGCCATTATTCTTTTCCACACCCTGTTCATCACAAGTTTGGCTGGTGGAGCAGTTGGTATCTATAACTGGGGCAACCTCCTATCTCCCTATTCCTCTTCACTTGTTCCTTGACTTTCCAACTCAATAAAACACCCTGGACATACCTTCTACCCTCCCCACCTTGATGTCCAATTAGCTATTTCTCCATGGTGCCCTAGCTCCCTCAGGGGAGTGGTATGGGTGGATGAAGGCCTGGTTGCATATTGCTGATCTTTACTCTCAGACCTCGGAGAGTGCCGTTTTTCTGAACTCCCCATCCATATTGATATTTCCAATGACAACTTTCCCCTTCTGAGCATCGCAAAACTCCTGTGCACATCTCGTTCCCTAGCTTTTCCCTTTAAACGTTTTACTCTTCCTGTCATCACCTCAGGGTACCAAAGCTATCAAAACACTAAAAGGCATTAACTCTCCTCTAAACCACTCAGCATTGTGTCAGGTGGCGTATTGACAGACCCTTTGAGCAGAGCTTTGCAGGGAGCCACTAGCCAGGTGGAGTAACAGCTTCTCTTTGGGAATGAGACTGTGAAAGAGCCCCACTCCTTCCTATTCTCGCCAGCACTTGGAACATGGGCTATTAGTTTTGAAGTTGCAGAGGGCAGGAGCGTGGTAAATGAGCCTAGGGTAAGTTAGCGTCTCAGGGTGTGTTGTCATTGATGAAATTCAGCCTGTTCTTTGCAGAGTCCTGTGGGTTGCTGCAAGCTTTTAGTGAATACCCAAAGTGCTGAAAAAGAATTGGTTTGGGTATATATATATATTGTGGAGCCAATTTTTACCTTGATTTTGATGGGGGTGGGAATTCTTCGAGCCTTCCTCTGCCTTCATCAACAGCTAGATGGGGTAGTGCCTACCTTTCAATGTAAGTAAATGTAAGTAAAATGAGGTACCAAATGGTAGCTCCTATGCATTTTTTTTTTTTTTTTTTTTTGGTTTTTCGAGACAGGGTTTCTCTGTGCAGCTTTGCGCCTTTCCTGGAACTCACCTGGTAGTCCAGGCTGGCCTTAAACTCACAGAGATCCTCTTTGCTCTGCCTCCCGAGTGCTGGGATTAAAGGCGTGCGTGCCACCACTGCCCGGCACTCCTATGCATTTTTAATGTCATAAGACAAACAAATAAACCTCCCCAAACCCCCCCCCCAAAAAAAAAACCAAAACCCAAACCTAAAAACCAAAAAAAAACCCCAGCAAAAAATCATTGTTCTAGAATTAGATAGTAATTGTCCAATCGATGCATGTTTTTGTGTACCCTGTGCTAGATTAATAAGTGCATACCACCATGGCAGGCAAAAACAAAACAAACAAAACAAAACAAAACAAAACACAAAAACCAAAACCAAAACCAAAACAAAACAAAACAGATTGTGGGATCAAACTCAGGTCCTCACGCTTGCAAGTCAAACACTTTACTGACTGGGCCGAATTGAAGGGGAACGCGTTTGCAATAATGAGTTTGATGTGGTTACATGCTTGGGCTATTTCATGGTTTGACCTCTCTTCTCCTTCCCCTCCCCTCCCCTCCCCGTCAATAAAGACTCTTAATCACCCTCTTCTTCCATCCTAGAACATTTATTTACTCCTTGCTCACCAGAGGGAGGCCTTTCCCCGTGTTAATCTTTCTGAGAGCCACCGCCTTCTGCGTAGGAAATGGATTTCTTCAAGCCCACTATCTGATTTACTGCGCAGAATACCCTCAGGAGTGGTACACAGATGTCCGGTTTAGCTTGGGTAAGTGAATCTGACCGGCTCCCCTCCCTTCCCAGCTAGCACCAGCCCCACGGTGTCCACAGTTACCATTGTCTCTTCTCATCCTCCAGCAGCCTCTTCACCAGCTCTTTTCTCACTCAGGACCCTCCTGCGGTCTTCTCCCCAGGAGGGAGCCGGGGATAACACTTAAATACATCTCGTGCCGCCTCCCATCTCAAGACGGTCCAGTAGATTTCTACCGCTCTCCAAACAGGTTCCCCTGCCTATAAAACCCAAATGTTTTGGGTCGTTCTGACTTAGCAGTTCTTCCTGCCCCCTTTCACCCCGTTTTTCTGGGCTAGCCCCAGAAGCCTTGCTGCTGGGATTCAAAGAGTCAAACCTGTTTTGTCCCAGCGCTTCTGTCCAGGACATTCCCCCTTCCGATGGGTGTGGCTCACTGAGCTTCAAGGCTTGTGCCTCTCCCTTGCTTCGTTCATCTCCCTACCAATTTACCCCTCCTCGAAGAGGCTTTTCCTCAACACCTTACCTGAAATAATTGAAGACATCAATCTTTAAAAGACTCTCCTATTTTCTGTGGAAGAGGAGGTAGAAAGAGTGTCAGGGCCAGAGAGGATGGAGGACACCAAGAAAACAAGGCCCTCTAATTAACAACAGCAAAGCTCATATGAACTCATATATATGCACAAGGCCTGCACGGATCTGCACCAGGTCCTCTTTGTTTTTTTTTTTTTGTTCTAGTCAGGGTTTCTCTGTGTAGTTTTGGTGTCTGTCCTGGAACTTGCTCTGTAGACCAGGCTGGCCTCCAACTCACAGAGATACGTCTGCCTCTGCCTCCCAAGTGCTGGGATTAAAGGTGTGCGTCACCACCACCAGGCTCCTCTCAGCTTTTATTTTGGCTTCCAGTTTAGTGTTTTTATGGGACCCTTAAGTGTGCAAACCACTGGGTCTCTGATTCTTGTGCCTTCTCTGGGGCTCTTCTCCTTTTGTTGCTTTGTCTTGTCCAACTTCGATGTGATAGTTTTTGTTTTGTCTCATTATATTTTATTTTGTTATATTTTTAAAATGAATGAATGAGTGAGTGAATGAATGAATGAAAACCAAGCCACTAGGGTAAAGGTTAACAACTGAATTGTCATTTATATCTGCCGGGAGAGGGAAAATCAGTTTTCTCCAATGGAGTGACACTGGGTATATCAACCACTCCAGGACAGGCTTCATGTTTAGGAGTAGTTGATCAACATATAATGGACTCCACAGTTGTTTTTTATGGTTTTGTTGTTGTTTTGAGACAGGGTTTCTCTGTGCAGCAGCCCCTGGCTGTCCTGGAACTTGCTCTGTAGACCAGGCTGGCCTCGGAACTCACAGAGATCCCCCTGCCTCTGCCTCGCAAGTGCTGGGATCAAAGGTGTGCGCCACCATTGCCTGGCTTAGAGATCGTTCTTGATCCTTATTAATATCACCTGTCACATTCTGCCTATTGGCTTGCTACTTTCAGCTTTCTTCAGAACCAGTCCCCGCAGGGCTCTCTCTTCTCCCTGACTGTATTAGCTTTGGCCTACACCAAGCCACAGTTCCGTCTGGCCTGGGTGTCTGCTGTCAGTAACCTCTACACTGAGAATCCTGTCTCCATCCTGACCTTCAGCCCCTTCCTTCTTCGTGGTGTAGTCAGAGTGAACATTCAAAAACCACGAAGAGCCAGAGATTTCACTGTGAAATACTGTCACACATACCCTGTAGGGTGTTGTCTGGCCACCCAACAAGGAAACGGAACAAAACAGCAAAGAAGGTAGAGTTCTGGGTTAAATAAGAATAATTATGGGCTGGGAGATGGCTTAGCAGTTAAGAGCACTTGCTGCTCTTCTAGAGGACCTAAGTTCAATTCCCAGCACTCATGTTGGGTGACTTACAACTACCTATAGCTCTAGCTTCAGGGGGATCTAAGCCCTTTTTTTGGCCTCTGCAGACATCTCTCTCTCTCTCTCTCTCTCTCTCACACACACACACACACACACACACACACACACACACACACACATACACACACACACACACAAATACATAAAAATAAATCTTAAAAAATTAAAAACAAAACAGCTGGGCAGTGGTGGTGCATGCTTTTAATCCCAGCACTTGGGAGGCAGAGCCAGGTGGATCTCTGTGAATTCAAGGCCAGCCTGGTCTACAGAGTGAGTTCCAGGACAGGCACCAGTACTACACAGAGAAACTCTGTCTTGAAAAACCAATAAATAAATAAACAAACAAATAAACAAACAAGAACAAGTGTAAACACTTGTACAGTATGATTTTTTTTATGTATAAATGAGATAAGAAATGTACATAAATGGAAAAAGTATTGGAGTTATAAAACTTCCCTATTGTGTCTCAAAGTAAAGAGTTGAGGGGGGAGCGTGCACACACACACACACACACCACACACACACACACACACACACACACACACACACACACACTCATGCATGCATGCACAAGCACATAAGACAATAAAAAGGAAGAAAATGCACTGAAGAAAAGTCCCCCAAATTGAGAGAAGACACACCAAGTACTTACATACTGAACTGTTAATGTGACCACACTGGAAAACATTGTAAACCAGTCCACAGGAAATACAGCAGATAGAGCCATGAGCAAGTCATCTAGTCACATCTGGGAAAAGGGACAGTCCAAGGATGACTGTCTATTCTTCTCATGGTAATCTCCTGAATGAGGGACCAAAAAAAAGGTCTGATGGGGTGATATATTGTATACCCCAATAAAGCTTGTTTGGGGATCAGAGGACAAAGCCAGCCACTGTATTAAACATAGAGATCAGGCAGTGGTAGCACACGCCTTTAATCCTAGCACTAGGAAGGAAGTTTAATGGCAGGACACAGAGAGGTATATAAGGCGTGAGTAAACAGGAAGTCTCTCTCTTGAGGCTGTGGATTTCGTAGAGGTAAGAATGTGACTGGCTCGTTCTGTTTCTCTGATCTTTCAGCTTTCACCCCAATATTTGCCTCTGGTTTTTTTTATTAATAAGACTGTTTAGCAATTCATGTTATAGTCTGGCCTAGGTTAAAAAGGCCCCAAATGACACCAGAAGCCAGGAGTGGCACCCTCTGATCTTGGTTTATACAAACCACCTGTAAGAGGCCTTTGGGTGACATCTGAAGGGACTGGAGTAGGGCCTAAAAGTTGCATAATGAAAGTGTTACATCAGGTTAAAAACCCAAGGTTGAGAACTAAGTTGCTGAATGGTGGTGATTTGGTGTGATCGGAATGGGTGATTTGGTTTGGTTAACATTAATGCCTAGTATTCTATACATATGAATATTACTTTTATAATAATATTAAACAGAAATAAAACTCTCCTTAGCTTAACACCTACAGATGATTTCCTGTTGCAGGGAAAAAATACAAACCCTCTTGAAGGCTTGTAATTCTTCCACCCCGCCTCCCAACAACATTCATTTTTTTATTAACCCATTACCTTGAGCATAATATTTATATTTAACCACAAATAATATGGAGTCACTTTTTTTTTTATTAAAAAAGTTTGTTCTTTGACAATTTCATGCATGGTATGTCAACTTCCAGCCTTCACAGTGGGGCATGACAAAGAAGAGTGTATGAGAGGGCACACCCACCTTTTGAAGGGTTCTTATGAGAGAGGAATAAGAAAATATTAGATAGAAAGAGAGACCTAGTTGATGAAAAGAAAGACAGAAACACAGGATAGCTTCAGGAGGGCCTGGATTTCTACCCAATGGCCCTTTCTGTTTATTCAAAAGGAATTTTTATAACAATGCCAATGGGTGAGGTGAAAGGCACACTGCACAGCCAAGTGCAGACCCTTCCAAACACCTAGTAACCATGCCTGTGGTCAAATCATCCCCTTATGCAGTCCTGCTGGGTAAAGCAAGCTCAGATTCTCAGACCCTGAGTAAGTTCTCACTAGGAAACCTCTGTGGGTCTCCACAGCTCCCCCTTCTTAATATTTTTAAAGGGCCCTTCAAACCCTTCAGATAGACTATGTCTGTCTTAGGTTGTCTTCTTCTTCTTCTTCTTCTTCTTCTTCTTCTTCTTCCTCTTCCTCTTCCTCTTCCTCTTCCTCTTCCTCTTCCTCTTCCTCTTCTTCTTCTTCTTCTTCTTCTTCTTCTTCTTCTTCTTCTTCTTCTTCTTCTTCTTCTTCTTCTTCTTCCTCTTCTTTCTTCTCTAATCAGCCTTACCTGTCATTGAGATACACTTTCTGTCAAGTGTACTCTGTCTTAGGTTGACAGCTCTCAAGGTTGACTTACCTGTCTCTGACTACCAGCCTCTGGCAGAGGAAGGTATAGAGCTTAACTCCATGTACCTTTGAATCAGGTCCCCACTAAGAGCTTGGAAGTAGCTGAAACAACCACAGCAATCCCTATGGCTGCCACACCTCCCAATAAAGGAGTAGAGAATGACCAAGATAGAATGTCCTTTTTGAATGGGTCTAAGATGTCTATAGCAGCCTCAGTTGGACCAAGCCCTTTTTTTTAAAAAAATAAATCAATAAACTGTTGATGCAACTGCATCAAATACATCATTAAACTGATGCAATTGCATCAAACCTAAAGACTCTCTTAGCATCACCAAACCATGGTTCATCAATATCAACAGGCTAACATAATTCTAGCATAAATATTAGTATACACAATTACAATTCTTACAAACTTACATCCAAAAGCAAACTCTCAATAGCACTATTTACACTTTACAAACTTTAGCAAACATTCAAAAGCAATCTCTTAATATAACTGCTTACATTTCATAAACTTTAGCAAACAACAAAAAGCAATTTCTTAATAGAACTATACAAAGCATAGGGTACATTAACACAAGTTAACATCAGTCCACTCAAATGACAAGAAAATATATAGACTGAGGAATATTAACTCCCCCTTTTCTTTATAATTTTTTTAAGCTTCAACTTGAGCCTGGGTAGAAAAAAACAAATTTCTCCATTTTTACATAAAACAGACAGTTCCATTTTTTCACACAAAACAGTTCATGAGTCACCACAGTTAATAAAGCATACATGCATACACAAAACAGTTCATAAGTTATTCAGTTGATGATGCATATAGGTGAAATCAAAATTGTTCCATTTCTGAGGTTTGCAAAAGTTCAAAAAGTCAGTTCTAATACAAGTCCCAAAGTTCAACTGACATCCCAAGATCAGGGCCTGACTTGTCAACCACCTTGAAGTCTTTGTCTAACAGTCCAACTCTTAGGCAAACAATTCCAAATATGAGGAGTCCCATTAGCCAAATTTATTGGACTTCCCCTGAATGCAACAACTCAACTCAGTTCAAACTAGTGTCTCTGAAGCCTCATTCTCAGCCACAGAGGCACTTTCAGTTAGCTTTCCTCTAGGTGAAAACTGGACCAGGGCAAAAGTTGCTAGCTGGCTGGGGCAAAGTCCTTTTAAAAGAGACCTTCTTACAGCCAGCAAACAGAAACTGCAAGGCTTTTGGCTCCTGGCTTTCACAGTCCCTGTCTGTCTGTGCCTCTCATAATTGGCACATCCTGGCCTTGGGACTCTTAATCACCTTGTGATGGATGGTTGAATGCTGACCTGCTGCTATGAGCTACAGCTCTCAAGCAGCAACCTCAGTCTAGGAGGAAACCCAACTGCTACAAGCTGTGGACAAGGGTCCTATTAGCTGCTCCACTGGCAGTCTTTGCATCCCCTGTGTGCTACCTCATTTGCACGGCCAAATGCTGCTTCAGCCTCCTCTCAGGCTGCTCCTGGCTTCCAGCATGTCTCCACTGTTGAGACTAGAACTCAACTTTGCATCACCTCAGCATTTCTCACTGCCATTCCACACAGCGGGTATGTCTCAGCTGCCTGTTTGGCTGCTGCTTCTACCACAGTGTCTCTTTTGGGCTCTCTCTGCTGCATTCCAAGCTGCCACTGCTGCTGCCTGCCATTCACATCTCCTGTAGCATCTCTGCTCCATAGCCTCTAGCCATGTCAGTCTGGCTCTCTCCTCACTGAGGCTTCTTCATGGCAGCAGAAAGCATGCAGAACCCTGTTGCTTGTGCTGGCTCACTCAGCATCTCTGAGCTATGATACCCCATGGGTCTCAGCCACTGATTCCTGGCTGGGTCAACCCAGGCTCCTGCTGCTGCTTTCTGTGTCCCAGGTCCCGTCTGTGCTTGAGGGAAAAAGCTACTTTTACCTTAAGTGACTTTTTTATTAAACCTTCACCATATCCCTAGACCTAAAGCTTACTGTACCCTAATATATCTAAGTCCACACTTTTCAAACTAAACTTCACCAAGGTTTTTTACAACTTTAGAGAGAGAGAGAAACAGGGAAACATAGACATAGACAGAGACAGAGAGAGATATTTGCTGTAGCCTAACTTTTACTATTTGCTTCAGCTTGACTATATATGATCTATCTATCTATCTATCTATCTATCTATCTATCTATCTATCTATCTATCTATCTATCCAGTTTTACTCACAAAGAATAGAATACCACATAACCTTAATTCATAACTGGACATGTCCCCCTGTTTCCATGGTGCCCCCTCCCTCTCTTATCCTTTGTACCTATGCCCCACATTGGGCATCATCTGTGGGAGGCTAGCTCTCACCTTTTGAAGGGTTCTTATGAGAGAGGGGTAAGAAAATATTAGATAGAAAGACTTAGTTGATGAGAAGAAAGACAGAAACACAGGATAGCTTCAGGAGGGCTTGGATCACTTACTCAATGGCCCCTTCCATTTATTCAAAAGGGCTTTTTATAACAATGCCAAGGGGCAGGGTAAAAGACCTTCCCCTTGCAAGATCAAAGCACACTGCACAGCCAAGTGCAGACCCTTCCAAACACCTGGTAACCATGCCCATGGTCAAATCATCCCCCTATTCATCCCTGATGGGTAAAGAAAGTTCAGATTCTTGGACCCTGAGTAAGTTCTCACTAGGAAACCTCTGTGGGTCTTGACAGAGTGGAACTGGCCAGTGGATGAGCCAGCCAGTTGGTCATTTGTGAACGAGCCAAGTGTTTGCTTGCTGTTACTCACTATTGATTTATGATGTTGGTTTTTTTGACACACACAATGCTATTGCCTCCTACTTGCTCCACTTTTCCACCTCTGCCCACCATGCTTCACTGTGAGTGCTAACATTTTACCTTAGGGACAGGACAACCTCTCCTCCCCGAAAGTTTCAGATCATATCTGAATACCATTCTTAGATTTGGCAATTAAATGCCCCTCACTTTATTTTAAGAAAGGAAGAGAAGAAACATATCTTGTGTGAAGAATACCAAAGCAGAGTGTATCTTTTGATCTGTTTCCTCTCTTCTTTGCCAAGGTATCTTCCTATTTATTTTGGGAATGGGAATCAACATCCATAGTGACTGCCTGCTGCGCCAGCTTAGGAAGCCTGGAGAAGTCATCTATAAGATCCCACAAGGTAATGCCTCCCTGGATTCCCAGAGTCCCATTCTTCCTTGAAGCCTGCCTCAGTGATTAACAAACAGGAGGGAGTGTTCATGACAGCACAACTATGCAATCTATACACTGTGGCTTGCTTGTATCCTCCCCTGCATACTCTGTCCCCTCCACAGAACCTAAGGAAGCTCCAAAGGGCTGTAACTAAGTTGGTAGAGTGCTTGCCTAGCATGCATGAAGCCCTGGGTTCCATCCCCAGCAACATTTAACTCAGGCATGGTGGTACATATCTACGATCCCAACACTTAGGAGGGGGAGGCAGGAAGATCAGGAGTCAGGAGTTCAAGGTCATTCTTTAGTACATAGTGAGTTCAAGGTTGGCCTTGTTACATGTGTACACACACACACACACACACACACACACACACACACACACACACACAGAGAGAGAGAGAGAGAGAGAGAGAGAGAGAGAGAGAGAGAGAGAGAGAGAGAACCATAAAAGATCCCTTTCCCATCCCAGGTAGGAAAAATCATAGTAGGTGACAGAGGGCACCAGGCTTGGATATAAATAGTGGAGAATAGATTACAGCCTAGTATATAAGCCTGTCATTTACACAGAGTGTGAGCCTCATTGTGTTAGCAATGAAGCTGAGGATTTTGTTGTCATGTGAACATCATAGTGTACTTACAAGAACCTGGATGGGGCGGCCTACTGCATACCTAGGTTATAGAGTACAGCCTATTTTGAAATTTTAAATTTTTAAAAACATTTTTTTTTTGCTAAAAACTAAGAGAGAAACATATCTTAGCCTAGGACTACACATGATCACAATCATCAATATCATGTATTTTACCTTATGTCCACTGGAAGGTCTCTAGGGAGCAGCATGCATGGAGAGATGGTCCCCCCACTCCCAGATACAGCATGAGACTATTTTATGGTTAACTTTTTTCTAAGTTGAAGAATTATGCTCTCACAATAAATAGCACAATAAGCATGTAAACCAGAACGTAGACACTTAATATAATTATCAAAGATTAAATCCTGTCTAGAATTATATGCTTGTACTTCTTCCTTAAAATTTAGTTTTTAATTTAAAAATTTCATCTGGTGTGTGCATGTGTGTGTGTATGTGTGGGGTACTTGAGCATGTGTGTTTGTATCCGTGTGAAGGCTAGAGTTTGATGTCAAGTGTCTTCTTCAATTGCACTTTGACCTCATTTTGCTGATCCAGGCTCTCCCTGAATTTGACACTCATAGATTCAGCTAGACTATCTGGCCATGGAGCTCCAGATCGTCCTGTTTCTACTTTCTCAGCATTGGGATTATAGGCATGTGCCACTGTGCCTGACTTTTATGTGGGTCCTGGGGATTGAACTCAGGTCCTTAGGCTTGCATAGGAATGACTGGGCTTGAGCTTTCAAATCATAGGCCGTGTGCTGGACTTACACAGCAATGACTAGGTGGTGAATACTTGAGGTCTGTTAGCGATGTTCGCCATCATGTGTGCAGTCTGTTGTTGACGTGTGACGCGCCAATGGGCAGCACGTGACTGCTGCTTCAGAGATGAAGATCCAGAAAACTTGCAAGTGTCACTGGTCCCAAGAAACTAGGAATGAGAGTCTGACGAATGAGCGTTTGGCAATGACTCAGTCCCAGGTGCTCAACACAGGCAAGTCGAAAGTGGTTTCCACCCTTCTGAATGTAAACAGAGCCCTCATTTGTAGTAAAAATGTCCTGGGTTATGATACGATGGTGTAGGCCGGCCACCGCTGATTAATAATGACAAAGCTGTTGTGATTAGTGATACATTTAAATGAGTTAAGTGTTATTCATTCCTTGTTATCTAAGGAACTAAGCTAGACCACTCATGATGTCCATGGAAAATTGGACCCTCGCAAAGTCAAGGGTGTCATGGGCAGGAAGACAATGTGACACGGTATCATCCTTAAGAAAAAACAATAGTAAAGGGATTTGGTCCTTGTTTCAGCCATTTCTCTCACAGCTGGGATAGAATACTGGACGGATGTACCGTTGTCTCACAGTGTCGAGGCAGGGAAGACGAGGCCACCTGGTGTGCCAGGGGGCCTCTTATCATTGGTGGCAGGAACATGGGGTTATTTGCTGGCATCTCCACAGCCAACTAGAAAATAGAGAACTTGGGCAGGAAACAGGCCATCTCTCCCCCTCTCAACCACCTCTAACAGCCTTCCACCTGCCAGCAAGGACCCATAGCCAAAAGTCTTCTGAAACAGTGCCACCAGCTGGGGACAAAGGGTTCACACAGGACTCCGTGGACAGCACTCACATTCCAACCGTGCCAATACTTAAAAACTTCGGCTTAATAATTAAGTAAAGATGAGCTGGGACAGTTCTTAAAAACCAGATTGCCAAGGTCGGTTTCCAACTGAGTTAGGAGAGTGAGAGAGAAGGGCTTAAGAGCACATTTTAATGTCATTACAGAAGGAGAAAAGTTGTTTCGGTCACAACTTCCCTAGTTTAATATGGTTCACAAACCTGGCATGTGGGTATATTTAACGTCATTAGCAATGTCTTGATTTCTAGATAGTTCTGAGAGAGGAGATATCTGGTGGGTGGAAGTGAAGTATCTCAATAGCAGCAGAGCTTTGTAACCCCAGCAGGGCAAATGGTCTCTGCTTTCAGCTTGGACAGTGTTTAGTGCAGGGGGCCAGGTAGTGGAAGATCAAAGGGTCAAAAAGAATCAAATCGTTTCTCACACCTGTTAAGTTTTTGTTTCAATGAAGTGTGTTGTTTCATTTTGTGTGACTGGTGTGTACCGTAAAGATCGCTCTTGGGACTTGCCAGGGAAAGGCTTGGGAAGGTAAGGAGTGACCTGAAAATGTCCTTTAAAATGAAACAAGACAAGAAGCAGGCCATCTGCACCTCTTGCTTATCTTGCTCAAAGCTGGTGGCCTAAGTTGTAAAGAGATCCTGACAATGCCCATCAGTAGATGAGGCCACTCCCCAGGATTCCAGAACGTTCTGCAAGGCAAGGGGCTGTTGTTGCTTTGTTTTCCCTTATTTCTAAGGGGCTTCTTCTAAACTCTGACTGTGGAAGGGACCTCCCATCTTACATCTGTTTACCCATCTGATGGGGGAATGTCTTTTTGTATGCTGTGAAAATATGTTGCTCTGATTGGTTGATAAATAAAGCCATTTGGCCTATGGCAAGGTAGCTTAGAGGCAGGTGGGAAATCCAAACAGATAGGAGGAAGGAGAAAGACAGAGCAGAGGAGATGCTGCCAGCCAGGAGAAGCAAGATGTAACAGTACCGGTAAGCCTGAAGCCATGTGGCAAAGTATAGATGTATAGAAATGGGTTAATTTAAGATATAGGAACTAGATAACCAGAAGCCTGCTATGGCCATAGTTTAAAAATAATGTTAGCCTGTGTGTGTTTATTTGGGTCCGAGCGGCTGTGGGACCTGCGAGTGAGAGAGATTTGTCCTGACCCTGGGCCAGGTGGGACACAGAAAAACTTCCAGCTACACCCATCTTTGTGTATTTTGGAACAAAACACAGGAATACAGTGTAATAGAACTGCAGTTCTGAGTATTGTCTGTCTGATTCTCTGCACACAGGTGGCTTGTTTACGTATGTTTCTGGAGCCAATTTCCTGGGTGAGATCATTGAATGGATGGGCTTTGCCTTGGCCACCTGGTCCATTCCAGCTCTTGCATTTGCATTTTTCTCTCTTTGTTTCCTTGGGATGCAAGCTTTTTACCACCACAGGTAAACGTTTCAACAGAGGTGTGTCTCCATTTTGTTTCCTGTCACTGTGATTCAAATGCCCCATCAAAAGAAACTGAAGGAAAAAAGGGGTTAATTTGGCTGGGGTTATGGTCAGTCATTGCAAAGGTGTTAAGGGGGCAGGAACTCGAGGCAGGTGGTCACATTGCATTCATTCATAGTCAAAAGCAGAAAGCAAATGGATTAATGCATGTGTGCTATGCTCAGCTTGCCCTCTCCATTCATACCAGTGGTTCTCAACCCTCTTAATGCTGCGACCCTTTAATACAGTTTCTCAGGTTATGGTGACTCCCCAACCGTAAAATTATTTCATTACTATTTCCTAACCATAAATTTGTTACTGTTGTGAACCGTAATGTAAATATCTGCTATGCAGGATATCTGATATGTGACCCCAAGGGGGTTGTAACCCACAGGTTGAGAACCTCTGTATAAATTTTATACAGTCCAGAGTCCCTCATTAGGGAATAGTCTTGCCCATGATTAAGATGGGTCTTCCCACAGCAATGAACTTAATCAGGACAATCCCTCACAGGCATTTTCTGAGACTATCCTTAATATAAACAGTCCCTCACAGGTGTTACCAGAGGCTTACCTCCTAGGAGTCAAGTTGACAATTAATGGTGTCACAAGGTTGTAGCATTCACATAGTATTCTTCTTCAAATAAAATTTTAGCACATGGAATCAGATGCACAAACACATGATAATGATTTCATAAAGGAAATTTGATACAATAATCAAATCGTATGATTAAGCTCTCACTTTTAAAGCTTTTACTGAAGCTGAAATTGAGTTGGATAATGATAGCAGTAAATAAAAAAATAAAATAAAATAAAAGGTTGTGTAGATAGAGGCACCAGAAGTGATGGGTGGGCAGCCATTGTGCTCACCTTGTTGAGGAGGGTTTCCCACTCTCTTTCCCTGAGGATGTAGTTAATGATTGATGGGAGAGAGAGAGAGAGACATTTTCTTCAGTGGTGTAGCCAGTGGTAAGGTGCCTATGTTCCTATGAGCAATTCAAATGAAACTCATTGAACCGTAAACAAACAAACAAACCATGAAAATAGAAGGGAAGTAGTTGGGAAGAGGGAGGGGATTAGTGGGAGTGGGAGAGGACAAGAAAGAGTAACAGAACTGAATGATCAAAGTGCGTGCATTTACATGTGTATGGAAATGTCATAATGAAGCCTATTATTATGTATAATTTATAAGTGATAATAAAACCAAAATAAAAGATGGCTTCCCACAGTGAATTGGTTGGTCCAGGTTCCATGCCTGGTGATGGTTACCACTTGGCTGGAAACGTCAGATAATGAGCCAAGAGGTGGAAGAAATGTCCATGCTTCAATTCGGTTATCTTCCATCGTATTTCTTGATGTGTGTTCCATGGATGAGACCATTGCCAGAGCATCCCAAAGTTTCTTGGTAAGGTAAGGTAAGCAGGTGAGCCCTGAGTGCTCCATCTGCTGGTAAATGTTGGAACTGCAGGCTTTAAAGGCATTCCTTTAGAGGAAGGTCTTAGACCTCTTTAAGCCACCAGGTAGGGGTTGAGTAGGATAAAAGAGGTAACTGAAAGTAATGCTGGGGAGGGAAGGGTAATGCATTGTTTACTTTCCCTGCTTACCTTAAGGTAGCTTTTGTTGGGAGAGAAAGCCTAGATACCAAGAAGGAACACATGGCGTACAGAATGGGGCTGAGGGCTTCTTAAGTTCTCGCCTCGGCATCTCTGTCTGGCTAACGATGTCTCTAATAGTTTTTAGGATTAAATGAGGTACAAGCTCCTTTCTTCTAAGTGGAAACTGAAACCAGTTTGGAACTACACAAAGCAGCAGTTTCCCGTGACCTGTTCCTATTACCTCCTGGGTTGAAAGGGACAGGGTTTCAAGGGTTCATGGCCTTTGAGAGACAGCGTAAGAGCCCTCCCACTTCAGGAGAATCTGCTGCCCATCACAAGCAGTGAGAGAATGGCAGAGGTCAGGGCATGGCCTGGTGTATAGGAGGGTCTTTGAAAAAGTGTAGACCTTGAAGTACTTGGTCAGGAAATCTACCAGAAGTTTCCAGCTGGTGCGATGTCAAAACCAAATTGAGGCCATCTGGTTATATTCCTCTTGGAGGAAGAGCCAGGGGTGTCTCTTTTAATAGGACCAAGAGGGCTTTGTGAAGGTGCTCATGAAGCAAGGGCCGGCCTTGGCAGGGGAAGTTGAGCACACAGGGTCTTTTCAAATCAAAGCAGTACAGGCCAGGCACTTCTGGCACATTTTTATTTATTTATTTGTTTATTTGGTCTTCCAGTTTAAACCCAAAGCACTTTAGCAGAGTGTATTTTGTCTTTATTATGCCTCAAGGGCCATTAGTTTCAACTAGTTAAGAGGACAACTTGGTCACACAGGGTAGAGGCTTTTTGTAAAATGCGTTAATCTCCTTCGACTGCATAAGAAATGACCCTCAGCTGCATGGGCTTAGGACAAGGGAAATATCTCTCTTCCGAGTTCTGGAGACCAGAGGTTTGGCCTTAAAGTATAGGCAGGGCCATGCTCTGTGGAATGGCTTGAGGAAGAATCCTTCCTTGCTTTTATTCAGTTCTAGTGGGGACTATAATTCTTGGTTTTCCATGGTTGGGGCAAACGCCTCATTCTAATCTCTGCTAGTCTGCCTGTGACCTTCCCATCCTGGGTATCTTCTTATCTCTTTTCAGATCTATGGGACTCAGGTCCACCCTGCATTGGTATGAGCTATTTTAATTAATTACATCTGCAACGACCACAGTTCCAAAACAAGATTGCATCCTCAGGTGTTGGGAGTAAGGACTTCACCTTACCCTTTAGGGGGCAAAATCCATAGCAATCCATAGTAACAGTGGCATAGGAATCTATAGCAATAGTGGCATTCCCAAGCTTTAGGAAGGGATCTTTTCTTAAAAAAATACTGCCAATTCTCTGAAGTTAACTTTGCCCACAGATTTTTGTTAATTCATTTTTTTATTAGCATGTGTTAGACACAATAGTGAGCCTCATGGCATTTTCATACATATACAATGTATTTTATCCTATTCATTGTTTGTTACTCTTTATCATTTCCCTCCTGCTCTTAAATGTTTTTACTTTATTTTTAAGGGTTTATTTTTTATTTTATTTACATGCATTATGTGTATCTGTGTGTTTGTATGCACGTGTGTGTGTGTGTGTGTGTGTGTGTGTGTGTGTGTGTGTGTGTGTGCGCGCGCGCGCGCCCAGGAGAGGACCTCAGGTTCCTGGAGCTGAATTACAGGCAGAGAGTTGTAAGCCACTGGACATGGGTGCTGGCAACCACACTCAGGTTCTCTAGAAGACCAACAAGTGCTCTTCACTGCTGAGCTATTTCTCTAGTCCTATTTATTTACTTTCATGACTGAGTGAGTCTCATAGAGTTGCTTACAAGATCCTGTGTAAGGGGGTGTTTACAAGAGCATGGGATCCTTGTAGGTAGCCACACCACCAAAGAAAACATCTCTCCCTCCCTCAGCAACCATTAACTGCCTTTAGATCCTTAGGGAGAGGCTAGTCCTGCAAACTCCTTCCCGCTAGCTATGATTATCTGCCTGTAGGTCCTAGGGGGAGGGGACCATGACAGGATACTGACAGGCTCAACCTTGTGCTGCAGGTCTTCTGCAGGTCTCAACTGTTGTAGGATCAGGAGTGCAATGGCGAAGTCATGTTCTAAAGACAGGGTTCTACTTTGCTCCTTCCCCCGGCTTACACATTCTCCCTGCCCTGCCTTCCATGATAATCCTTGAGTCTTGGAGAGAGTGATCTACAAGTTCCTCTCATGGCTGAGAACTCAGCAGTTCCTTGTTCTCGGCACTTTGACTCATTGTGAGTCTTGGCCGTTACTGCTGCCCACTGCAAAAAGAAGCCTCTCTGAATAAAGCTGACAGTAGCACTGATCTATGGGTGTCGTCAGAAGGTTTCCTGTGTCCTGCCCGGTCCTGTAGCTGCTTGGACCCAAGTAAACACAGAGGCTTATATTACTTACAAACTGTATGGCCTAATGGCTCGGGCTTCTCTCTAGCTAGCTCTCACAACTTAACTCAGCCCATTTCTATTAATCTATGCCTTGCCACGTGGCTTCGTGGCTTACCGGTACTTTCACATCTTGCTTCTCCTGGCAGTGGCTCACGGCGTCTGCCCCACTCTCCTTTCTTCTCCCTTTCTCCAGTTCAAATGTACCGACTAACCTTATTCTGCCTCACCATTGGCCAAACAGCTTTATTTATCAACCAATCAGAGCAACACATATTCACAGCATACAGAAAGACATCCCACAGCACTTCCCCTTTTCTGTCTAATCAAAAAGGAAGATTTTTAACTTTAACATAGTAAAATTACATATAAAAAACAGTTATCAAGCAAGAATTAGAGCTATAATATCTAGTCTATTTGTATTTAGCAAAATTAAAGAAAATACTCTATCATCTATCTTATTTTTGTGAGTCTAAAATTTCATATCTAATTTATCTTTTCAAATACCACTACATGTGGGTGTACTCTGATGAGCAGGTCTTTTCCATTTAGCAAAACAGTTGCAGTAGCTTTCCCAGTAGGGCCTATGATCTCCCTAGCCATAGGCTTTTGTCCAGGTTTTTATTCCCAGATGTGGATTTCCTCCTGTGGAGTAGGCCTTAGGTCCAATCAGAGAGTAGTTGGTTACCCCCATTACTGACTTGCTACTACTTTACCAGTTGCCCAAAGTTTTTGAGAGGCTCTAGCTTCCTGTGGTTTTCAGCAAAGTGAGAGCCCAAATGAGTACTTCCTTTTGTCTATTAAAAAAAATCTGGTGACATACACACAGCATCAAATTTACCACTTTAACAACCTCCAAATGTTGAGCAATATCAAGTACATTCGTAATATTGTAAAATCGTAACCACTACCCTCTAGATACTACTTTGTACTTATCTGCACATAAATGACCAACATTTCCAAGAGACAGATGGTAGGAAAGGGGTTGATGATGGGCACATGGTCCCCAGGAATGGTCAGATGCTAAATAACTGGCTTATCTTGTCATGGCTGTGCAGACTCAACTGTTGGCCATGACTCTATTGCATTTCTCTTTATTCTTTCCTTTCTTGTCTTTTCAGGTTCTACCTCCAGACGTTTAAGGATTACCCCAAATCTAGGAAAGCCCTTATTCCATTCATCTTTTAAGGAACCCTGATTTTAAGGAACAAAGCTTCTATGGGGGAACCGCCCAGCTGCTGAAACGATAAACTGTAAACTATAACTGGGCTGTGTCTTGCTCATACGTGTACATATCATGATGTGTGTGCTAACAGGTATCTTTGTTATTCCAGCTGCCTGAGGCATACTGAGTCATGCCTGCTTACCCTTTACTCCTGTCTGCCCAGGGAGCCCTAACCTAATTTCCTGTTGGAGCGTCACAGAGGCCCTTCCATGAAGACATTTTCTCCTTAGCTATTCCTTCTGGAAGCTTCCTCCATTCCTCATGTTTTTTTTTTTTTTTTTTTTTTCCCATTGTATGATCTGAAAACATGTGACTTTTTCTTACTCTGTATCAATTTTGGGAAGTTCTGCAGTCAAAACCCTTTGGGCTGACATAATGAAAAATGAAATCATAACATTTGCAGGAAAGTGGGTAGAACTGGAAATGATTATATTAAGCAACATAACCCAACTCAGAAAGATAAATACTGCATGTTTTTTCTCATTTGCAGATCCTATATTTTAATTTATATGTATATATGTATCTGTTTATATGTGTGTATTGGGGGGCATGTAGTTCATTAAATTAGCAAGGAGATCATGAGAAAGGAAAAAGAGGAGAAAGAGTAGAATATGTGTGGCATGAAAGCAGAGAGAGGCAGATGCAGGGAGGAAGGGGATCAGCAAGAGAAATGTAGGAGAACAGAAGAGAAGAGGAGGGGAGGGGGATTGGCAAAAATATAGTATGAGCCGGGCGGTGGTGGCGCACGCCTTTAATCCCAGCACTCGGGAGGCAGAGGCAGGCGGATCTCTGTGAGTTCGAGGCTAGCCTGGTCTACAGCGCGAGATCCAGGAAAGGCGCAAAGCTACACAGAGAAACCCTGTCTCGAAAAACCAAAAAAAAAAAAAATATATATAGTATGGATGAAACTGCCATAATGAAACCCATTACTTTGTATGCTGATTTTGAAATAAATCAACCAACCAATTAGCCAACCAGCAAAAAAAGAATGTCTGGGCTGAGGGCAATGCTTACAGAAGTAATTAAAAGCATACTTTTATGTATACTCACAGAGTGGCAGAGATTTATATTTTTAAGTGCTGTAGACCCAGAGCATGCCTAAATTACTTTGTACTTATCTGCACAATTATCAACATTTCCAAGAGACAGGCTGTAGGAAAGGGTTTGAGGATGGGCACTTGGTCCCTAGGAATGGTCAGGTGCTGCTGATCTTCCTCTTCATTAGTTAATTAGGAAGATATGGAAAGGGAGAACTTTAATAATGGAATTCCCAGCCGGGCGGTGGTGGTGCACGCCTTTAATCCCAGCACTCGGGAGGCAGAGCCAGGCGGATCTCTGTGAGTTCGAGGCCAGCCTGGGCTACCAAGTGAGTCCCAGGAAAGGCACAAAGCTACACAGAGAAACCCTGTCTCGAAAGACAAAACAAAAAAAAAACAAAACAAAAAAATAATGGAATTCCCTTCTCTGACCCATGTCCAAATGTATACAAGTGTCTTAGTCAGTGAACACCCTGATCTCCCAGGAGGTTTCACAATTCCTATTGTGTTATCATTGCTTCATCCACACCACTGGCATGGATTTTCTTGATGGTTAATTTTTTTTTTAAACATACACAAAAAATATATAGCTATGAGTGACTCCCGAGGGAATAAAGAAATGTGTTACGACACACATTGTAAACTCGTGTTTTGGGGAACTGATGGGAATATCAAATATCAGGGGACACATCAAGTATGAGAAATTCATACAGAACACGATAGGCTGTTCACCTTGAGGAGATGTCTACAATGGTCTGAAGGATTTCAGAAGCTCCAGGCAAGTTTCTTCTGGAATTTCTTCCTTATGAGCCTTGAGACATATTTTAGAAGACGTGTCCCGGCAGGCAGTAGCTTGAACATCGGTCCTCAAAGGTCCCAGTGGCAGAAGCTGAGATCTGCAAGCAGATGTTCACCTGGGCAGAAAACCTGTTTCATTTAGTTCAGACAGGGTTTCACACATAGTTTTATTTTATCTTGTCTTGTATTTCAAGTTTCAAATTGTGAAAATTAGGAGGTTTCTACATAAACAGAAACTTTGACATTCCTTTAAAAAGTTGGAGGGAGAGACAGAGAGACAGAACATAATGGAAGGGGAACGTGATTGAAGTACTATACACATATAAAAAATGGAATGAGACACTGAATATAGGCCAGTGGTTCTCAACCTTCCCGATGCTGTGACCCCTTAATACAGTTCCTCATGTTGTGGTGACCCCTGACCATAAAATTATTTTAGTTGCTGCTTCAAAACTGTAATTTTGCTCCCAGTAGGAATCATAATGTAAATATCTGATATGCAGGATATCTATGAAAGGGTTGTTTGAACCCAAAGGGGTTGTGACCCACAGGTTGAGAGCCACTGATGTATGCCGAAGGATCTCAGCATACTGAGCCTGGTTCCCATGTGAGAACTTGGGACAGAGTAGCAAATGAGCTATCTGACAGTGCAGCCTCTCATGAAGGGTTGGCTCCCCTGAAGAGGCTGAAGTGTGGTTTTGGGAGGAAGGGACTGAGTACTCTGAAACAGAATGGTTGAATGCGGATCTCCTCAGCCTCAGGTGTGTGGGTTCAACACTATTCGGAAACATGCTCGAGAACTGAGCACCAGTTTTATCAGGTGGTGGAGAAACCTACTCCAAGTTCACACCCGGGTCATGAAAGATCGGAAGTAGGACATGTAATGAAGACATGGATTGTAGTGTTCCAAGCAAGTGCTCTTGTTCATGAAATGTCTCTCAAGTCATGACCACCACCAACACTTGAATAAAAAGACCCAGGACGTCTGAAGCTATTTACAATGTATTGATTGAGCTGTGTTGTTTTTTTTTTTTTTTTTGTCCCCCTCCCCTTCCCTCCCTCTCACTTTTTGGTGTTGCTGTCTTTCTTTCTTGTCTTCTGTCTTCATTTTGCCAACCTGAAATTAGGAGCTAGGAGCAGGATATAAATTATGACTGACAGCTTCTAAATCACAGTTCAGAATCCCAGGTGGTACAGCGAAGGTGTGGGAAGAAGATATGCCAAGGTTAGCTATGTCCATGATTTCAATGATATCTGGGGTGGTGGTGGTAGTGGCAGTGAAATACACTGTGTGTTGAGTAGCATTCACTAAAACAAATAACTGGGATACATCATCTGATGAAGAAAAAAGGTTTATTTTTGGCTCACAGTCCAGGAACGTTTGGTTCAATTGCTTTGGGTCTGTAGCAGGCAGCACACACTCTGAAGGGAGCATATAGTGGAACATTCGTGTTCACCTCTCAGCCATTGAAGGAGGGGGAAGGGAAGAGAAAGAGACACGCACCAGAGTCCCACAGTCCTCCTTTGAGAACATGCCTCCCCTCCTCAGCCACCCAAAGCATCCCACTAGATCCCACCTCTTAAAGTTCTCCCTCCTCCTGGTGGTGCCAAGCTGGGAACTAACCCTAAGGCAGACGCAAGCTATATATAAGCTTTCATGCGCGTGGCCAATTCTCCTGAAATCAAAGATTGTCTCCACGACTGAAAACCACTTCCCTCAGACCTTTCATTTTAGAGCTGGAGAGGTAACTGGATAGAATGATTGCCTACTGTGTAGGAGGCCCCGAGTTCCACGTCCAGCACCAAGGTGGTGCCCATGGGTCCAGGCTCGACGATCAGAAATGCAGTCTCATCTTCAGCGACACAGGGAGTTATTTAGAGGCCAGATTAAGATTCATAAGACCCTGTATTAAATATATTAGCCGGGCGGTGGTGGCGCACGCCTTTAATCCCAGCACTCGGGAGGCAGAGCCAGGCGGATCTCTGTGAGTTCGAGGCCAGCCTGGACTACCAAGTGAGTTCCAGGAAAGGCGCAAAGCTACACAGAGAAACCCTGTCTCGAAAAACCAAAAAAAAAAAAAATATATTTTTTTTAAATTGGATTTTTTTTTCTTATTGACGTGAAGAAAAAAATCTAGGGCAATCCTTGAAGTGTGAAAAAATGCGCAATAAATGGCTGCCACCATTTGCCTAGTACTCTGACAAAACTGCCATTCAGCAATTGCATGCTTTTGCCACAGGAGGGCACTAGCTAGAATTTCATTCAGGTGAATTTAGTCAATTTACCAATTTTTTTTTAAATCCCACAAAACCTTATTGCTATTTCAGCTTAGCTAAATTAACCACACACCTTCATTTTAAAAAAGTTTTAAACTTTACTGAGTGCACGTGAGTGTACACTGTGTGCATTTGGGAGTCAGAGGAAAATTTCTGAGAGTTAGTTTGTTCCTCTCACTGTAGATTCCGGGTTCTGGGGATCAAACTCTAGGAATCAGATTTGTGCAGCAGGTTTTTTTTTTCCCACTGAGCCATTTTGCATCCCAAACACAGACCTTCCTAATTTAAATAAGTTATTTTAGGGATCTCAGCCATCTAAAGCCATTGTTTCAAACCTCAGTATTCTTTGTTGGAGGCTGGGACACAGACACAGACACAGACAGACAGACAGACAGACAGACAGACACACGCATCTTCATATATGTGGATATATATGGATATATATTTATACATATATATATATGTATGTATGTATGTATATATTAAACATAGTAAAATTCTGAATGTGTCCTCATTCCATAGACACATTTCCTCTATTTCTATTTTCCCTGAAAACAGAGTGCAACAAAATCAAGGGAATAGAGTGGAGGCGTCCTCTGAGTGGCTTTCATTAAAACATCTTACTGGTGGTTAACTGCCAGGATGCATTTTCTTACCCTTGATCAAGAAGCTTTCACAGAGGGAATGATTCCTGCTGGCCTGGAGAAAGTGGGCTTGATTTGATTTTCAGGATCTAGATTTAAAATGTGTAAGCTGACAGTAGACATCAGCTGGTCCCCTGCCTTCATATTATAGACGGAAACCCTGAGACGTATGGGGTTGAAATGCTTCCCCAAGGCGCCGAGCTAATCTGAGCATCATTGTGTCCCTTCGTGGGTCAGAAGTCTTTTTCACAGCAGGCTTCCACAAGAGAGGCCCAGCAGAACCCATGGATCGAACCTATCTGCCTGGGAATCACCTATTAAACATTTACTACACAAAAAACGTTACTGGGTCTGGAGGTTGAAGCCAGGGCCCAATGCAGAACCACCGAGCTGTACCCACAGCCCCGAGGCTATTGTTGGATTAGACACGTCTCTTGCTCTTGAGAAGCTGCCGTGTGGGTTAGTGCAGAAGTCACACAGGAGAAAACCATCCAGAGCCGAGTTCTATCCAGGCCCTGATTCAGATACACGCGCTCTTTTTGCACATCTGGGAGTCATGTGCTTTGCTCACACCAGGAGGATCGGTGGGTACACGGGTCATGAATCTGTCTGACGTGAAAAGGACTTTCCAGCCTTAGTATAGTAGGGATGACCTCTATGCTTGATGACTTGTCATTTCCTCTCCTGCCTGACCTTTGGTTCTTCAACAGCCCGTGGCCAGAGGCCCAGGCAGGCCAAGGAGCAGGGTGATGAAGGATGTGAAGCAAATCCTTCTGTAACAGGCTGCTACTGGTTTTATAACAGGACACTATCTCATGATAAAGCCAAGAGGGATGAAGCCAAGGGGCAGTGTGGTGCTCGGATGATTTAAGGCCCATCGAGTAGATTGAATTTTTGAGGATGTTGTGTTTATTCTGTAAGCCCACAGAGCTGTGATCTAATAAGGTCCTATGCTATTTATATCATCTCTCACTTCTTCCCACAAACGTAGTTTAGGATCGGGATAGCTGAAATAAATGACTTGGAAAGGTGACAGTGTGTGTCCTGCTCTGTTGGTTCCTTTTGCCCTGACCTTGTTAGGTTCCAGGTTTGTTTCCATTGAGTACCATCTGAGCCTGGATGATGGGGGATATCCAGGATAATGTCTCACCTGGCTTGGAGCTGGGAGGAGGGAGGAAGTGGCAGAAAAAAAAATGGAAGCACGTGGGGAGCTCTATGGAAGGTTATGGGAAGGCTGGCATGGAAACAATGCTAAAGACCATGGGCAGGAGGGCTCCCCTAGTACGGTGGCTTCCCCCTTTCCTTGGGTCCAGATTGCAAAGGTCCTGATGCCTTCCATGTGCTCCCAGGGAAAGAAATTCCCCTAAGGGTTCGAATGAGCCCTTCTTACAGCTCCATTTTCATAAGATGAGAAAGCACATTTGCTTAAACCCAAGCCATATGGCAGAGCCTCACAAGAAATAACTCAGCCGCGTTTCCTTCAGCTCACTTCGTAAAAGTGGCTTTTGATCTGGCTAGCAGGGACTCTTGTGTGAGAGTGGTGAGGCGTGATTCTGAGATGTGCTTGCATTCAATGCCGTGAGGTAGGTGGGGAGAAGGGAATATCCAGTGTATTTGTGGACTTGACTTTTCTCCATTTACAGAGCCTAGAAAACCAAACCGAACCAAACTAAACCAAACCAAACCAAACCAAACCAAATCACTGACCTTTTCTTATAGGGATGTATGTATTCTCCTCTCCCATGTTGATTACATAGCAAATACCAATTCAATGTCATTAATCTGCTAATTAATGCTTTCTTTCATCATGAGCTGGGTTCGGGACACTATCTCATTAAAAAGTGTTCTTTGTGTCTGTCTTAGTTGCTCTCTTACCTCCCTATTTTTCTTTTATTGAAAATAGTTTTTTTTCC